GCGAGTGACCCATCACCGCGTCCTCTTTCTTCTCCAGGTCTTCCCGGTGGAGCCCGGGGTGGGCTCTGGATGTGGTGGGAAAGGGTGGCACGGAGGAGAAGCCCCCTGGGCAGGTGGGCAGCAGGGGAGGAGAAAGGGCCCGATGGTGCTTCCTCAGCCCAGAGGTCCACGCGGACCTTCTCTGTCTGGTAACCCTCAATAGCTCTCTTTCCCGTGGCCTTTTCCCGTGTCCTCATGCCCCGTGAGCCGCATCCGTGCGGGGTTGTAGCCTGGGAGCACCACCACCCCCCCCCCGGCGGTACCACTGGAGCTGCTGAGCAGGCTAGATTTGGGCATCAGAGCCGTAAACTTTCAGAGGAGCTTTGGTAAAGGCATTGGCCTGACTTGGGCTTGGGATCTTCGTTCCTACAGCTGACGGGATGGCGGATGGGGATGAAAACGGTCTGGAGGAACTAGAAGGGTCTGAGCTGGTTTGGGACCCGTCTGAGGTGGACATCCTTCAAGAGCCAAACCCAACGGCGCAGCGCGAGTGCGAGAGTCAACCACCACAAGCCTCTGAAGAACCAAGCAATGACTCCCGTGGACGCCCATCACCAAGAAAGGGTGGACGGCTGCAAGCCCGCCACGGGAGCCGTGCAACGAAGAGGACCTACAGCTGCGGCAAGAGTGGGAAGAGCACTGCCGGGAAGGCAGAAGAGGCCATGCACAAGGGCCTCTATAGCTGTCCCGACTGCGGGAAGATCTTCAGTCGGAGGTCCTTCCTCATCCCCCATCAGCGCATCCACACCGGTGAAAAGCCCTTCACCTGCCACGAGTGCGGGAAGGGTTTCCGAGTTGGGTCAGCTCTCAACAAGCATCAACGGATCCATACGGGCGAGAAACCCTACAAGTGCTCGGACTGCGGGAAGCGTTTCCGTCTCACCTCCACCCTCAGCACCCATCGGAAGATCCATACCGGGGAGAAACCCTACGTCTGCCTCGTTTGCGGGAAGACCTTTCGGTTGACCGCATATCTGCTGGCCCACGAAGCCACCCATAGCGTGGACAACCCTTTTCGGTGTCTTGCGTGCGGGAAGAACTTCAGCTTGAGACGGTACCTGGCCATTCATCAGCGGATCCATACGGGAGAGAAGCCGTTCAAGTGCTCCGTGTGCGGGAAGGGCTTCAACCGGAGATCGACCCTCGTCGTTCACCAGCGGGTCCATACCGGGGAGAAACCCTACAAGTGTCCCGAATGCGGGAAGAGCTTCATCATGAGTTCAGACCTCGTCTCCCATCGGAGAATCCACACCGGGGAGAAACCCTACAACTGTCTCAGCTGCGATAAAAGCTTTCGCTTGAGCTCCCACCTTACGAGACACCAGCGAAGCCACACCGGGGAGAGACCGTACAAATGTATGGACTGCGGGCAAAGCTACACAGACAGCTCTGGACTCATCAAACATAAGAAGATCCACGTGGAAAAGAAGCAGAGGACGTCTCAGGGAGCCCACCCAGGGGAGGGACGTTATAAATGCCCCTACTGTTGTAAGAGCTTCCACGCAAAGTCAGCTCTGGTCCTTCACCGGGCTACCCACGCCGGAGAGCGACCCTATAGATGCTCCAAGTGCGAGAAGACCTTCCGCCACAGCGCAACCCTCCTGAAACACCAACGAATCCATACGGGGGAGAGACCCTTCAAGTGTCCCGACTGTGAGAAGTGCTACAACGATGGCTCAACCCTTCGGAGACACCGGAGGAGCCACACCGAGGAGAAACCCTACAAGTGTCCCAGTTGCGGGGAATGTTTTGGTGCCATCGCAGCTCTCCTGAAGCATCAGCGGTTCCACACCGAGGGGAGACCTTACAGATGCTCCGACTGCGGGAAAAATTTCCACTCTAATTTCCTCCTCGTCACCCACCAACGAATCCACACGGGAGAAAAACCCTATACCTGCCCCATCTGCAAAAAAACCTTCCGCCAAGCCTCCCACCGTACGAGGCACCAGGAGATTCACAGGAGGACCAGGGCTGGCGGTGCTTTGCGTGACGTGTCCGAGCACCACGCGCAGAAAGGAAAGACCCGGCGCAGAGTGGGAGCAGAGGTGGGATGCGATGAGCCATTAACGAGTCCGGATGGTGCTTCCACAGCTCAACAGTAAAAGAATTTGAGCTGCCCCGCGTCCATCAACTGGGCCAAGTTACCCGCCCAAAGAAGATGTGCCCCATGTCCTACCCGATAACCGTGGTTGTGTAAGACTTTGCACACCCGGATACCAATTTGAGCCCGGTATTAGTGAATTACCGGTGACGCGGGGTTCCTATGTCCGTCTTTTTGTAGCATGACCCTTATTCTTCTCGCCCCGTGGGCACCGAGTGCTTCGGGGCTAAGGCTCTGATGGCTCTCGCTTTTAAACTTAATATTATTCCCTCATCTCCAAGTCCGTCTCCTCCCAAACTCTTCACAACCAACCCTCCAACCATCCTTCTCAACTCACCCTTGACTTCGTCCCCCATTTTTACTCAAGTAGGTCCCTATGCGATTCGGAAAAAAAATCGTACTCGACAACTACTTTCGGATCCCGACCGGTCCTTAAAACGGGTCGAGTGAGCAGCGTTAACAAATATATCCAGACTGGACCCACCGTCTCGTTTACCGTTGCCCGGGGATGGCTAGCCTGGCTCCGTAGCGATGTCCTACCTCAGCCCAACTTACGCCCGTGCAGGGACACCCCCCACCCCGCCCCGCCGCCCTTTTTGGGGACTGGCATGGGAGCGCTTGATGGTCCAAGGTCCTGGGCAATAAGCTGGACACAGTGACTACCTTGCTGTGAAATCTTCGTGTTCCCTTACGATCATCGTTGCTTCAGTTGGGAATGGGACTGTGGTTGACCCCAAACGCTGTCCCTTAATGAGAACATCCAATTTACGATGACCACATTATTATTAAATGCCTTAGGGGTAACCCAAGGGGATGTTTCCTCGGCTTTGAGTTGCCTTCAGACCCAACAGTGGGTTCAAGCTGGAACCTCAAGAGAAGGCGACGCCAGAAGTCTGCCTGCTGTGGGTCCAAGCTGGAACCTCAAGAGAAGGCGACGCCAGAAGTCTGCCTGCTGTGGGTCCAAGCTGGAACCTCAAGAGAAGGCGACGCCAGAAGTCTGCCTGCTGTGGGTCCAAGCTGGAACCTCAAGAGAAGGGGACGCCAGAAGTCTGCCTGCTGTGGGTCCAAGCTGGAACCTCAAGGCGACACCAGAAGTCTGCCTGCTGTGGGTCCAAGCTGGAACCTCAAGAGAAGGCGACGCCAGAAGTCTACTCGCTGAAATTCGTGAAGTTGCCTGGGATGATGCCACCGAATGTCACCTACAAGCCTGGTGGCACTTGGGAAACTTGGCTTACGATGGAAATGTGGACGTAGGCTGGCTACGTGAGATGCTGCTTCTGAACGAACGTACCCCATCGCATCTTTGGGTCTACACCAGGGCGGATCCGTGGTCCATCTCACGGACAACAGCCCTGGCAAAGAACGAAAGGATGGCCACCAGTAGATGCGGAAGATTGCGTCCCAGAGCCAGGAGGGGGGGTCCGTGGGGGAAAGAAATTCCTTCTGAACCCCTAATCTGTGCCTTGATTCCCTTGGGGGAGTCATTTCCCATCACACCCCCGTGAACCCCCCCGAGGTGACGCTCACCTACGCCGGGAACGGCTGCTCACGTTTACAATCGTCGTGTTATTTTCTGTATATCGACTCTTTATAGCCACGCTACGAGTATTAATCGACCTCTTTGCATCTTCGCTACCCAATCTGGATGCGATTTTAACTATACCACCCCAAATTACCACTTATTAAGTACTATCAGCTAACCACCCTCCACCACCGCCTCGCCCCTACCCCTCTGGGTACGGATTTCTCTCTTAATTTTGCAGGGTAAACACTTAAATCAGCTCTTGAAACAGGCAAAGGAGCAGGCACGATAAACTCGAATACAATTAAAACTTTAATACAACTTAACCTTTGGTAACCGCCTCCCCGATAACCAGAAAAACCCCGACAAATTCCGGAATGATGTTCCAAACGTCGGCGGTGGGAAGCCATTTTAGGACGGTCTCCCGCCCCCGTGGTCGGTTGTTAGTCCAGATGACGCTCGCACCGCTCGGCGCTAAAAGAGGATGATCTGATCGGGGAATTCGAAATGCTCCGAGCCCTTTAATTATTCTAATATACATATTATATACAGTATAATTAATTTTAGCCCGGTATGAGTGAATTACTGGATTTACTGTTGTTTCCATCCAGAAAATTGGGCTACTTTTTGCACCGCTTATTCTGAAATAAATGGTTTATTCCTAAAGCTGCTGGTCGGGTGTCTTCCTAAAGAGCTTTTTAATTGCTGCGGGTCATTAACGAGTAATTTTAGGAGGCGCGGGGACGGGGAAGCGGGATGAGGACGTGGCACG